AAAGAGGTGAACTGATTACGTACCGAAACTAAATTTAAAATTTGTTTTGGAATTATTATGACTTATTTATTATATGGTTAGGTTCTTAAAAGTGGTGTTATTGTGAAACAAATTATCGTCTGAAATGGAATTCCGATGTAAACAAAAGAGTTACCATTACAACAAATAGCTTAAATTTATTTCTTTAAAAGTTTTTAGTATTTTTTTTACTTCAACTAAAAATCCTTTTTTAGATAAAAATAGGATAGAAATATTTTATGCTGCAGGCAAGAAACAGCTATTCGGAACATTTGGCTCATTGAATCAAACTTTTTTTTATTCAGTATGATTTATCGTAAAAAAATTTATAAATAACACGTTGTCCCTTGTCAATTAAAAGAAAAGTAACAGTTTTTCATTAAAAAAATAATATTGTAGAAGAGCTTAATGTGTTTTGTAGTTCAGATTAGAAGAATTTAAGTTGTAATCATGTCAATGTTTGTACCTTAAAGGGCTCTTACTACCAATTAATTATTGGTCCAGATGCTTTTTACAATACGTTTCTTTTGAAAAAAATAATGATTTACCTCTATATAATTATGAAAAACCTGGTTCTGATGAAACTGAATTTGCCACCTACTGTACAAGTATTTTATTCGATATTGATTTACAAATTAAAGTACTTAAAATTGAAAAAGTAATGAAATTCCTATAGGCTAATGTCAACAAATCTTACATTTTTATCCCCACATTGTTATACAAAATTAGTTACACTTGAATGAGAAACCTTCTCTTTCATTGAAGTCGATAAAAAATAAGACTATACATCTTATTTCCGTATTATTATTTGCAAAAATAAAATTATAATTAGAACCTTTTGGAAAATGTTTGCAACCCCTAAAATAACATTACAGTAGGGCCTCGATAATCCGAACCCAAGCTAGTCCGAACGCCTCTATAATCCGAACGACCCCCTCCCCCGCGCATCTGACGTTCCTTAGTAACTCGCTATGACACGTGCATATTTTAGTGCCGAGTTAAACTTTTTGGACGCTATACATATTGTTCTTGACCGCTCCGCGCGCTATTCCGCCATTTTGTTGTGTATTTGACATGGCTTCAACATCAAAGAAAAGAAAACATGTGACGCTTACAATTTCACAGAAGTGCGAGATTTTGGACAAGATTAAGGAAGGCGTCTCATTAACATTTCTTGCGCAGCAATACAACGTCGGAAAATCGACTATTACAGACATCAAAAGTAAGGAGACAAAAATAAGGTCATTTGTAATAAATACAGAAAAGGGTCCGGGTGCAAGAAAAACATTAAAATCTCCGGAAAATCCTCAGCTCCAGGATACGTTATTTACATGGTTCTTAGAGCAGCGAAGAAAAAATGTCCCTTTGACAGGTGAAATCCTAATGGAAAAAGCAAATTTTTTCCACGAAAGACTTGGAAGAGGAGCCTTCGTTGCTAGCAGAGGATGGTTGGACAATTTTAAGAAAAGACATGGTATACGACAGCTTAAAGTAACCGGTGAAAAAATGACAAACAACGAAGCGGCAGTGCAGCCATTCCAGGAGAAGTTCTTAGAAGTTATAAGGGAAAAGGATTTGTCTGCTGACCAAATCTATAACGCTGATGAGTCAGGCTTGTACTGGAAAACCATACCAGACAAAACCCTAGCGGCTGGATCGGAAACTAGTGCCCCAGGTGGCAAAATATCAAAGGAGAGGATTACATTTATGCCATGCGCGAACGCAAGCGGAACGCACAAGCTACCCTTGATAGCTTGTTGTAGGGAAAGCACAGAAACCACGTGCTTTTTCAACAGTCAAAAAATTTACCAGTTCGTTACACAGGACAGAGAAATGCTTGGGTCACAAAACTAATATTTTTAGAGTGGCTGAAGGAACATTTTGTTCCCGAAGTAAAGAATTTTTTGTCAAAAAAGAACTTGCCAATAAAAGGACTTTTATTGCTTGATAATGCACCAGCTCATCCACTTGAAGAAGATCTGCAGTTTGCAATTGACGAAAATTTCACTGTTATGTACATGCCACCCAATTGCACAGCCCTCATACAACCCATGGACCAAAATGTAATTCAGAACATTAAAATAAATTACAAGAAAAAACTTCTGTTGCAAGTTTTTGGCCAGCAAGAAGCAGATCCAGAATGCACAGTATCTGAAGTCCTTAAAAAAACTACAATGAAAGATGCTGTATTTTCACTTGCTCAGTGTTGGCAGCAATTGTCTCCACATCTTATTAAAAAATCCTGGAAACCTTTATGGACCTTGTTATTCGAATCGGAGGACATTTCTAGCCAAGAAGAGGGAGATTTTGATCCTGAAGATGACTTACCATTAAGCATTTTTCATAACAGAGGCTTCTCAGAATCAGACATTAATAATTTCTTGGTAAACAATGATGATATTGATTGTCAAGAGCCCTTGACTGATGAGGACATAGTGAGATAAATAACAAATGAGCATGACAGCGAAAATGATGAAGAGTTGGAAACATCTGAACCAGCGGCAAAGGTTTCACATGCTCAAGTTGTGTCTGCCTTAAACACCTGCTTAGAATGGGCAGATGAAATCGACATTTCTATATCAGAAAAAATGCTTTTGCGTAAATTAAGGGATAAAGCGTTTACAATGTCGCTAAAAACTAGCCGTCAAAGCACTTTATTAGAATTCTTTAAAAAAGTATAAACATAATGTAGGTATCTAAGTACATTCATATGTATATGTAATAGCGTCATCATTCAACAGTTTTAAGTGATTAAAACATATTTTCTATAATAAACATTATTGTTTTATTGCTAGATATACCTTTTAAAATGTATACATACTATAATCCGAACGCTGCGTGCATCCGAACAGGGTGTAAATTTTGGGTGTTCGGATTATCGAGGCCCTACTGTATTTGTTTATATAAGTTTTTTTATCTCGAATTAAATTTCGGAATATAAATAAACGTGTGCAATACACAGTTCATTGAAATGGTACGGTGCATGGTTATGAGCAGTGTTTTGTCAATTTAGTAGGTACATGAACGCGAACGTGTTACTTTAACATACCTTACCATTTTCTAATATATTTCTATTTTTGTTCCAAAAAAAGCATTTAAAACGTTCAAGTGAACCTCAATGTGAATATTGTCACTCTAGACTAGGTTGTATGTGCTATATCCTTTTGCCTTTAATTATGCCAAAAAGTAAAATTGATTTATGTTCCGTAGAAGCTTAGCGGGAATTTTATATAGAGTTCACCTTTATTATAAATTGTTAATTGTATAAAGTGATTTGTACTATACATTACATATTGAATTTGCAAGATAACATTAATGAATTTGACAGTGAACAATTGTGATCCATTGATATAGGATGATAAATGAATGGTTATTAGAAAAAGTGGAATAATTGTATCGAATTGTAAAACAAACGTAGAAAAATGCAATGGAATAATGTAAAAATTATGTAGTTTTTTATGAATTGTTTTTTATTTGTAAAATAAATAAGTTATATCCAAATTGGGTTTTATTAAGAATTAAATCAATATCAGTGTTTAATAAAAAATAAAGGGTATAAACTAATGTAACGTGTATAAGTTTGGTACAAGTAGGTGACAAATTCAGTTTCATCAGAACAAGGTTTTTCATAATTATATAGAGGTAAATCATCAAGTTTATCAACAGAAACATATTGTAGAAAGCATCTGGAGCAATGATTAATTGGTAGTATGAGCCCTTAAAGGTACAAACATTGGCATGATTACAACTTAAATTCTTCTAATTGGAACCACAAAACACATCAAACTCTTCTACAATATTATTTTTTTAATGAAAAACTGTTATTTTTCTATTAGTTAACTAGGAAAAACGTGTCATTTCTAAATATTTTTACGATAACCGTCGGAAAATGGCCGGTAGGCAAATTTGACAGATAAGCTACGGATAGTAAGTTTGACAGCTCTACCGAAAGATATTGAAACACTTGTTTGCGCCATTTTCATACATTTTGCCTACGATCGGTTATCAGTATCAGTTCAATCCGTTAGTAGCACACCGTCGGTAGCTTTATCTACCAATGGTATGTTATTGAAACACTTTTTTGATACCATCGGTAGGAAATGCTACGGATGGTAGCAAAAACGGATAGTTTTTTGGTTATTGAAACCGGGGGTTAGTAAGCTTTGTTAAAACACAAGAGATAGGATCGCGCGTAATAATTAGGTACCTAATTAGCTTGCTCCGAGCATTAGCAATGTATGACACGTATGCCAACGATCCCGCTCACACGTAAACTGCGCAGCCTGCCCCGGTCTAGTTTTGTTCGTTCGTTCGTTTTGGAATATCTTGGACGAAATTCTTAGCGCCTTCGCGTATAGGTACCTACTTGGCACTGTTAATCGTTAAGAGAGAAAAACTTGTTAATTAACACGCTGGACGCAAATTTAACCACCACTAGTCAGATTGACGTTCATTTACCTCCCCCGTCCTGCCACTCACATACCTCAGGTGGTGACTAGCACTTCAGCGCACACTATAACTACAATGAATTTCAAAGGTACCTATCCCATGAGTTTCATGGGATACGCGTAAAGCCGACCTATCAGTTTCGAATATGATCAAAAGTAGGCACGATTAAAATGTATTGTGAGTATTGTAATAAGAATAAGGTGTGAAATACAACTCATTAGGTGTCCGTCTCAGTCTTACAGCAGGGATAAGGTGCCATAACGTGATACTTGAATCATTCTGATTGGCCGACATTTCGTAATACATGATTTTTGCACGCATGGAAAATTTAAAAAAAAAGGAAAATATTCTCCCGTTTTTAAAACATTTTTCATTGTTGCTCCACTCCTATAAGTCAGTTTTTGTTCTAACCCGTTTCAAAGTTCATTAATATGACAGAGCTATAAATATGTACATAAACTAGGATTCTGGAAATTACACGTCTCCATATCATTTTGCTTTCTATATTCGAAAAAACTTATTTTTTATTCCAGTTTAACTACAATAAAAACAGTTATAAAACGAATGAATCTAAAAACGTTCCACAAGCCGTCAAACCACTGACTAGAACTGTGAGCGATTATTCGGATAAACCTAGAACTAAAAGCGTGAACTCGACTTCATCAGTACGAGAAGTGAATATTCTTTCTGAAGAGGTAGGTACTTGTGTTTATTTTGTCGTTTTCCAAAGACTTTTTTTTACTAATATTATCATTTGTACTCACGATGTCAAGAGTTTTTTTATTTATTATTTTTGTATTCACAGTTCAAACATTCCGTACGTACTGAAAACGACACAGATGGGAAGTCAACAGGGAAAGTGTCTGCTTCTCAAAGACTTTCAAACCTTAGAGATCGTCTGAACACTGTAGATTTGATACCATTACAGTTACCAGCCGCCAAAAATGAATGCCTGGTTCGTAATAGTATTTTTATCTCATCAAAGTATTAAAGGGTGCTATGATTGCCAATTACTTAAGTGTTTTATTTTCTAGGAATATAGCGGACCAGTTGCTCATGTTACCCCGGCACATAAATTAGAACCCCCTCCTGACTCAACGTCATCCGTAGTGAAATTAGAATGGACTTGTCGGAAATTAGGATTACCACAACCGGTGTTTAAGGTGCATGATATTAGACCTAAACGAGGACCTGTCAGTTACGACTGTACAGTTAAAGTGAGTACATTTCATAAAGTAGGTACAATGAATTATACGTTAAAACGATAATGAATTAGCTACTCTTTACATTGGTAAAACCGCAAAGAAGAGACGCGATAAGATGACTTTGTTATATAATATGTTACTTGCAACTTTAAGAAGATAATTATGGTTGTTCTCGTTTCGTCAGCAAAAAATTTTTTCCGGTATCTTAATTGGTTGGTTGGTTGAGTATCGTCTGGAAAGGAAGGGGTCGTTTGTCGGCTCGCGTCCCGCGAAAATTTTTTTTTTAAGGATTTTCAAGATAAATATTATACTCAGCTCCGTTTACTACCGTTTAAATGCAAAAATATGTGCTCGATCAGAATTCGATTCACACGTGATGTTTTTTAAAGTAAAAGCCTGATCAGTTTGGTAATTTTTACTTAAATAATTATCAGGTCGGTACGTCATATAGTGCTTCATCTTACCCGGACTCGTCACCATCAGAGGAGTTAGCGAAGGAAGTGGCTTCTGTAAAACTGATAGATCTTATAGAGAGCTCTGAAGCTGGTGGAATGCCCACATCGTCTAGTAGCAATGCTATTGTCTGCCTTACGGAGTTAGTAGCAGAGCATGAAGCGGGTCTTTGGGCTAGCACCGTGCCACACTTATACAGGTAAATAATTACTGAAATTAAGTTATAATTTTTTTTAAATATTTTCGGATATTTACATATTTATACTAATATCCCAATATATTAGTAACTTAAGTTAATTGCGATTGTCAATAAATTATTGTTGTAGTTTTACGATTTTTTAATGATAATATGATTTCGATTTTATACCTAAATTTGATTGGACTAATTTGCAGTTTTTATAGTATTTTTTTTTCTACTATTATTCAAATTATAAAGTAACCTTAGTAGATATTTTTAACGTTTTGTTATTTCAGAGAAAAATATGGTGAAAATTTACCGAGTAACTGGCAGGAGCTAGTGGAAAATTGTCCACAGATTATTAAAGACAGAGTTGTCAATGGACTGTTAGTTCTACTACCTAATAATGAGGTTGGTATAATTACAAAACATTTGTCGTAAAAAGTCTTGCTTTAATATACCCATACAAATATTATAATTGGTAAAGTATGTAGGTATATTTGTTTCAAAGTGTTTTTTTTTACGTCACATCCGAGTATGAGGGAGAATATCATAGGCTACTTTTATGATGTACAACTTTTAGCTATTTTACATTGATCAAGCCGCGAGCGTCTGACCGCGATTTTGGTAACTTAAATGTGTACAATAATCAGTACCGTTAACAAATAAACACTGGCGAACTAAGAGGGGGGTGGCGTCGCCCCAGTGTTCGGGTCCTGGGGGCCTCCAAATGGCTGCAGCCATCCAACCAAACCAAAGTTAAAAATGTATAATAAATATAAATATAACGCAATATCAAGTTTCTGCCCTAGTCGGAAAAACTTGTCAATCCGGGTCTATTGCCGCCCTGGACCTCCGATGAGGTTAGTCCGCCACTGTTTGTCATGTTTTTAATGTTTTCGATTGTTATTGTTAAGTTTTGTTGTTACTTTTTAACGTTGACTAAAATAGCAACTGCTATTATAATTTTTACAACAAAACCTAATTTCATTAAAAATCAATATATCTAATCTCTCTCATTTCATAATTACTTAAGTATATGTTTTATAAAAATTGCCTTAACGTTTCTTATCGCGTTATTACAAAATAAATGTTATTTTTTTCATATTTTTCATATACCTCAATATTAACATGTAAATTGACCATTTCCAAAAAACATCATGTAACATGTAAAATCAATAAACTAAAAGTTATTAAATTATTTTTTACAATATTCTTGAAATTATTCATATATCAATAATTAATTAATAATAATTTATCTCCTGCATTTGTGATATCTATACGTTCTATTTTCAAATGATGTCACTCGGGTTTTATTTAGACAAAGGTCCAGCGCATTACCAATTTACGGGTCTTATTAAGATGGGAAAAAAGTATTTTCGCATATAGTATGCATAAACTTGTAATTAAATATTTCTGGCTAGTTTTGGTATCATTAAAAAGTTTTAATTTTAAAGAAGATAACTTCGAATTCAAATTAGGAATATGTGTGATTTTATTTGCTTTTTACTGGCAAAATGAGTTAAACTAATTATTTTCTTCGCCGTATAGTCCTGACGCAAGATCTTCAGAATTCTTTAAGCAGTGTCAGGTTAACATCACGCGAGGACTGCCAAAACCATTTTCGCTGTTATTGTATTAGAAGCCCCAAAATTTCTATAGCAATGGGATCATATCCCTTCTAACCAGATGATAAAAAGTTATCGAACAAATTGGTACCTACATGTTTTAATTAAAGATAAATAAACATTATTTAAAAATGTTTTGAATTTTCATATAAAATGCGAAGAAACTTTTTCCCCGACTATTAGTGTTTTTTTTTCTCATAATAAGAAAGATTCCGATATTCGATTTCGAAATTTATTTAATGTTGCAAAAAATATTTCATATAAGAAGATTTTCACGGCGCTCCAGTCGTTTGTGTCCTGTCTGTGAAATTTGTGCCGTTTGTGTAGTGTTTTTATAACATGATTACTGTGACGCAAAGTCGAGATTCTGACTTGATTATACCAATATTATCCCGATCATTCTAAAAGGTGGGTAGAAACATCACATTTCAAAAAGTTAAATAAAATAATAAAAGCTACATGAAAAGTTAAAATTTTAAATATACCATTCGGAGCAAATGTTCCGAATAAACAATTTATTTGAGAAGTTTACTCAAGACTAAATATGGCGAATTTATTGAGTTCTTTCTTTTCAGGAAGTAGTAGTACCGCCTATGCACATAGATTCCACTATTGTAGACGACACGATCGATAGCGAATTGCCTCCTCTGAAATTTCCAGAAGATGTATTTTGGAATGTATTTATTACTGTTGCAAATTCAACACTAGAAATTTGGTTACGAATTATTGGACCGCAATATAGTGTGAGTATTATTAACAAAACAGATAAGGGAATTCATTGAAGAACGATTATAGTATAACCCTTGCCTATTTGTTTAATTATTATAATGTGTAAATGAAATACATCTTTGCAGGATACCTTCGAATCACTTTTAGTGGATATGGCAGCGTATTACGAACATTCCGGTACATCAGTTGATAAATCAATGTTAATAAAAAATGCATGGTTAGTAAGTATATATTAGCGATCTATTGTCCAAGGAAAAAATCAAAATCAGTCTAGTATACCTGTTAGATTGTATTTTGATATAGACTTGTTTTTTCTTAAAATGCCACTTCCATCGGAGGGTAAAAAGCAACTTGGCTATCTTTATTTTTGAGGCTGCAGCTCGAAACTGGGATGTAGTTAGGGTTGCCAGATAGCGAGACTAAAATATCTGGTCAAAATTTGAAAAAGTCAGGATTTTGGGATCACAGTCGGGACAAAAAAAAAACTAATAAAAAAAATCCACTTTTAATTTATTAAATTTTAAAATAATAACAAGGGCCTACTTTTTGTCAATTTATAAGATCAGATAATAATAGTTTACATTGAAACAGCTAATATACCTACTTATTATATTTTTAATGATATGTCTGTTATTTTATTTTTAGTAATCCGATTTTACAGAATCTAACAATTTTTGTCGGGACATATTTGTTTTTTTCGGGACTCTGGACATAATACGAAATGTCTGGACAATCCAGACGAATCCCGACCATCTGGCAACCCTAGATGTAGTGCGCCGTCCAAGCCAATCCCTTAGTTCTTTAATCTGGAATGTCGCCTTTTCCAACACAAGCAGTGTTTGTTTGTATCCCATAATTTTTCCTTGAATTATGAAACAAATAACTCTGTATTTGTTATTCCTTATCACGTGGACAAATTCAGACGCTATGCGGCGCTCGGTGGGGTTAATAAAGGATAGGCAAAGATCTTATTGTGTGAGATCTTTGCCAATCCTTTGCAGTACTAAATGTTGGACACCTGCAATATATCAGTTCTTCAAAGGATGTTAGTCAGGGTCCAAGATACAAGATATTTTAACGCATTCGTGTTCTGACTCTTACAACCGGTTTCTGTACAAAAGTACGCAAGTTCAACTGAGTATTATCAATAATTTAAGATTTTTACGTTTCACAAGTCAAAAAGTTTTATCAAACTACTATCAACTGATCATTAAAAAAAAACTAAAATCAGAAGCGAAAACCTGTTTGAGTGACGTTTAAGGACGTTTAACTTTAAATACTCAATTCAGAAATCGGGTGATAGGTTCCTGTTCTATAGGACTTTGCTCAATCTGAAAAATGCACCTCTGACTATCTTAATACGAATTTTAACATTTTGCAAGTGACGCTCCTTCTACTTTTCCCATTTGTTAGGGTTATGTAACCGTATGGTAATGAATGAATGAAAAATTCTTTATTGTACACCAGTGGACAATACAAACATGGATACAATGAATTTCATTGCACAATTGGCTTATTACTAAAAAGTAATTTCTTCCAGGCAACCTTGCGAACTCGACTAAATATATCTAGATTAGGATGGCTTATATTGTCTCAAAACTTTATTACAATATCTTACCTCTACATATATATGAATGAATGAAATATAATAAATACTACACAAAATAATAAAACATAAATACTATACTACATATATTTCATATTAGGGGTTAAAGTATGAAATTACCGTTTTATTCTTCAATTGACATAGTCCTTGAATTGACATAGAATCTTCATGGTTTGAGGTTGTCGAAAGAAACTTTTTCACATGGTACTATGACGTTCTTCTTTTAAAAAATGTGAAATATTAGAATAACGGCTTTCAATTGTTTTTGTTATTCAACTTAGACAAGAAAGATACTGCGAAAATTCGAGTGATTTTTTAATACGAGTTCCGACGCGGAAGTAACGCGGCAGAAACATCGCGCAATATCAATGTTGTGTTGGGTCAGCTAATGAACGAAAGAAACGCGAGTTGAAACTTGTATTGCCTTGTTGAATCAATACAGAATAAAGGAATATTGGATCGAATTGTGACATGTGATGAAAAGAGGATTCTTTGTGATAACCGTAAAAGAAAAACGCAATGGCTGACCCCAGGTCAAACGCCACAACAGTGTCCTAAAGCAAAACTTATCAATAAAAAGGTAATGGTAAGTGTTTGGTGGTCTCAGTACGCGTAGCTTGACGAACTCGAGAACGTTTTGTCTACACCTAAATGTGACTTTTCTCGGATGCTCCCATACTATATCTCACTCTTGACCCGAGAAAGCGACATTTGGGTGTAGACATAGCGTTTCTCGAGTTTGTCATGCTACGTTTGCAGCATGGTGTTATTCACTATAGTTTTCTCCAATCTGGTCAAGCAATAACGACAGATGTCCATTTGTCATCCTCCGTATTCGCCAGACCTTGCTCCAATGGACAACCTTTTTTTTCGTGATTTGGACAATTATCTACGTGACAAGAAGTTTTCTTCCCAAGAGGCAGTACAAAATTCTTTCACACAGTTTGTGCAGTCTAGATCCTCAGACGTCTAGTAACTATTATGATTAAATAAATTTGTTAAAAATTAAAAAAACAAACAATTTTGTCAAACAAATCGGAAATTTCATAATTTTACCCCATTATATAACATACATATATTTTTTTAGATGATAGATAAGAATTAGACGGGATTCGGTGAATGACAGATAGTGCTCTTTGACTAGTCCTTTAAAAATGGGTATGCTTTCAGCACGCCTGATATTTTCTGGCAATGCATTTCAGAGATGTGTAACCTGGACTGTATAAGATTTACTAATGAATTTACTGGCATGCATTGGTATTGACAATTTCAAGTTCTCTGATGACCAACTGACAAACTCTAGACGCACGCTAGAATAGAATTATGGAGGAATTTATAACGTTCCTTAAAAATAACGTTCCATAAACCTGGTGAAAAAAGACTAAAAAAATATATGAAGATTAAACAGAACCCTGTAAAGACGAAAAACAATATGTTCATTCCGGTGAATACGAATTGTGCAGCCACTTGAGCTTAACACGGAAAGCAGATACATGACCATATTTACGTAAACCAAATATAAATCTAATACGAAAATTCTGAAGCCACTCAAGTTTATTTAATTGCTTCTTATTCATTATGCCCATTTGTCTGTCCATCCGTCTGTCTGTAATTCGTATTCGTTGAGGATAAAATCAATTATTAAATAAAGAATAATTTGATTATAAAATTACAATTTCCGTCATGGACTCTCAAGATTTTTTAATTTTCTATTTATTTTATACTTTTTTGACTAACACGTTTTCATTTGAACTACATATTACCATACTATCGACTTGGAAGCCATTGCTAATGAATCTGAAATTTTACACAAAAGCACAGCAAAATTTGGCAAACCGTTTAAAAGATGAATGAGAATTGCAAACGCTAACAGATAAAAAACCATTCTTCATACAATCAAACAACTTCTCATTCAAAATGCATAACCCATTCCATACAAATAACTATCCACTACTTTTATTAGGGTATAAATGACTATTATTAGTTTTACTTGTTAAAACGATTGTTAATAGGTATGCGGTTAATGTTGATGATGGTGGCTGGCAACGCGCTAAAATTATGGAAATTGAAGAAGACAAAGTAACCGTTTTTCTTGGTGACCACGGAGACGACGATGTGGTCAGCATTCATAACATTAAAATCTTAGAACCACAATTCAGGAGATTGCCTGCGCAGGTAAGAAAATCGCTAAAGTTAATTTTTCTAATAACTGGTCAACTTACTTTGTCCCGTGCACTCTGAGATGGGACCCGAACCTTTCTAAATACGGGCGACTACTCGGAGTGCCAGGGACTAAGTGGATTTTTTAAGCATTTTTCATTAAGAATATTTTTCAGTATAGAGTATTGTAAATGCAATATTGATCAAATTTAATAATCCTTGGGCGCGAGTCCGACTCGCTCTTGGTTATTTTGTCCTTGATACTGCTCCTCTTCGTATAAAGCAATGGCTATTATAGAATAGAGCTAAAGCCACAGCTAACACACGTTTTATATGAAGGTCCATAGAGAATACATTGTCGTATGCTATCTAATAGAAAAACAGCGACATCACTGGAGCTTTTTTCCTTGTTGACCTCCTCTTCTTCGTTTAAAACAATAGCTATCATTATTAGGTTTCTTATAATTGGATAGAACCATAACAATAACCCGCACAAGTTTCACTTGCAAATCTAATAGAAAACACTGTCTCGGTCAAGTGTTACCTAATAGAAAAACAGTCGTATTATTGGAGTATAGGAGACATGGTGTTATTTGTAGAACTGCTGCTGGTCGACCGAAAACCCTACAAATTCAGACAATGAAGTGGCGTCACACCTTTGTACGGTAGCGAAAAAATATATGGCATCTGGACAGTTTTTGTTGTTTGTGTGTTTATATTTCTGTACTGATACTTCACTTATTACTGTCTGAATGAAGCTGAAATGTTTTGCCAGGCGATTTTATGCCGGCTAGAGGGCGCAGAGGAGTTAGCGGCAAGCGCGGCGGGCGCGGCGTTAGTGCGGCGGCGGTTACCGGGCGAAGTCCTAGTGGCGGCGCCCGGGCCCCGTACTGACCCTGCCGACCCCTCCGTCGCGCTCGTGCTCTACGACACCTCCACGCAGCGTGACCTCAACCTTAACAAAGAGATCGTACACGACTTTTGCATGGCCGCCGCTTTCAACCTCACCCAGGTATGCTATCGCTATCGTGACTTCGTGAACAAGCTCGAACCCTCGATTAATTTATCATGGACGATGTATTTTTACCGGCTTTAAAAAGGAGGAGATTTAATGTACGACGGTATGTGTGTTGTTTATTTATTTTCACCAAGTGCTCTGCAAATTGTACACCTATTCAAATTATTAGAATTTGATATTTATTTCAAAATTATTGAAAAAATTATGTCGTTTAAGTTAACAAAATGGCATATTTTACTTTTCTATGACATTATTAATTTTTTTTTATATATGTACCTACTTACCTCGATAAAAATATGTAATACAATTAAAATACAAAATATTATTTTTTCCAAAATGTTAAAAAGTAAATAATAACACTTATCTTAAAAGCGGTAATGCGTTTCTTTTGATTTCAACGCCATTTCATTGGCGTTTCAAGAATTGACGAAACTTTGTTTTACGAGAAAGAAAAGGCCTTTAGATAGAGTGGGGATATAAACTCTAGAGCATTATTTATCGATAGAATCAATATCTACTTATTATATTATAATAATTTGTTTATTTAAAAAAGTAATAAGATTTAATGAAATTTTACATGACTATTATGCAGTATATTTCATCTTTGGGCTAAGCAATCTTTCGTTTCAAAAGTCACCAATATCGCGTTATATAGCAAATATAGCGTTCAATCAATAATTGAATTTATAAGGCACATATACATATCGTCGGTGTCAGTTCAAAAGGGTGTATGTCAAAACAGTAAATTTTCAGGAAACACAAAAAACTGTACATTTGTAAAATTTGCATACATAGGTTAACAAAACTCAGGGAAAAGCTTTAAATAAAATAGATATATGGATTTGCAAGATGACTGGTATCAAATTTCGTTTGAAAGATGATTTTCGGGTCAATACGACTTTTAGACACTTTTTCTTATATGTAGTGGCAAAACATACGACTTTTTGACTGTGTTTACGGCTTTTTGAAACGACAAAATGTTCACTTAGGACATTTTAAATAAGTCTTTTTGGTCACCTTTCAGACCGTATATATGAGGTTTTAATAAAATTTTGATCTTAGACAAGCCAAGAAAAATTATCGAAATTCATAAAAATCAAAAAAGATAATTTTATGTACGAGTACCTATATTCTTTCATAAAATCCACTACTAATTGATACTGATGTTAGTTTGAAATAAAAATCAATTTCATTTATATATCACAATCTCTTTAATAGTATTCTCAAAAAATCAACAAATTAAATTCTCAATTATTATAATTTGAGTTATTCAATTATAATAAACTTTACTTAAAACTTGAACAAATAATTACGAGATCAGCTTAGCTAAACTATTATAAGCTACACTATTAGAAAAGCTTGTATTTTAAACTTACGAAATAAAGTTTATAACGATTTACTTATGAAATAGTAAAGTTGCAATGAAAATTTTAAATATTACTGGACTTACAACGAAAAAAATATTAGATAGTAAATATTGATTGATATTTTTATAAGTAATTAGATCAAGACTGAATTTTTTGGTAATATAATCAACATAAAAGCCATAGATATTAAACAAAATAAAAATGAGAGTATCTAAATAAATTTAAATTTTAGATTAAATTAGGATTTTATATGAGAACATATTTCATTCGAGTTGCATTCATGTGGCAAGGAATCATAAAAATAATGGTAGTTATCGTGCATAAGTAATTTTAAATCCTGTAAATCAAGAAATTTTTTCAGAGTAATTTTTCTTTTTGAGCTGTACAGTGGAGGTACTTCGCAATTAGGAATTGGCAATTTGTGTCTACGGGGTAAGTCCTCCCATTCGTCATCATATAATAATTTGTACTGGATTGTGCCATCGGGACTGTATTTCAAGCAACGAATATCATTGACTACGTTATCACCAACCCTATTACGAGGTCGTATACTTTTGTAGTAATTTAAATTCGCATAATTCTTAAAAAAGTCATATTTGAGGCTGTGAACTTCATACGGACTTGGAATCTTCCTAGCGCTTCGTATTATCTCTACATACTCAGCAGGTAAAAAAATATTCTTCTTTCAAATTTTTCGATCTATAACACTGTGTTCTGAATCCACTTCCAGGAATGTGTGTCCATGTTTAAGATATTTTTGCTCTATGATTATGCCAAGTTTGACAGCACAGTCCAAAATAGCATTCGATACTACTTGGTTTCGATTTTGATATCCACAACCATCCGACCATAATATTATTTTAGTTAAATTACTATCTGATCTTTCAAATTCAGATTTAATCAAATCAACATACAGAGAAGCAAAAACATCAGCTTCTAGCCCTCCATTTACTTCATCCCAAAGGTAGCATCTACCTTTGTGCGTCATAAGATCAAATGATGTGAAATTATGAATTTTCAATTTCATTTTGTAATACGCTAGTGACACGTTTAATTTTGGAGCCAACAAAATAGCTTGAACGTCTACACAAAATACCTTTAATGAGGTATCCATTTCGGCCAGTCTCTTATCTGCTGCTTTATTGTTCCTGCCCATATTTTTTCTTAATAAATGTAATTCGTACTTATCTTTGTCCAATCTAGATTCATGAAAAGCAAAACATGTGTCGCACTGGTCTTTACGGTTTTGAAATAAAGTAATGTTTTGTTTTTTTAGTTCTTCTGAAAAATGAGTCCAAGAATATGGTTTTATGTTATCTTTTTCGGCTATTAGTTTGTAATTATAATGTAAGTCTGTCAAGGAATCCCAGTTTGGTTCTAAGTAAATCTTCGTAGAGTTTGCCCGACAATAATGGGATTCCATTTTTGCTAAATTTCGTAAGAATGATTGAATATGAGTATCGCGATCTACTTGAGCGTTATTTAAGGTTGAACGTGATGTCGACGGGCTAGGAATTCCGTTTTGAGACCGTGTGCACCAGGATCTTGCACATTTTTCACCCAGATCAAGAGTATTTAAAAACATTTTTTTACACACAGGAAGACGATCGCCATTGTGCCTTAAATGGTATTTCAAAGTAAAATTTCTACGCGAACATTCAATATTTTGCCTTCGAGTAGTAGGCTCTATTTGGACAACCAAGCTTGCCACATATACTTTGCGCTGTTCCCAATTTAAATTTTGCCAAAAGTTTTCATGTATATTCTTTCTAGCTTCATCTGAAAACTTCCGACATTCCAATTTTGCAGATTTGCAGTTGCAAGCATCCTTCATTTGTTTAGCTCTTCTAAAATTACTTTGAATCCAATGACCGTCAATCTTTTTTAAACCATTATGAGATTTTCCTAGCATGCGTCGTTTTTGTTGCTTAGATCGGTAACGAGTCCGTTTTATTCCACGCCTTTTATTGGCATTCAAATTTTCACTGCCTTCAGTGGAGCTTTCATTTCCATCCGGTTCATAGGCATCATCATCATCATCATCATCGCAAACATCAGATTCAATAATTTCTTGAATTTTCTCTGAATCTGGGATCGTATTATTAGACCTCTCACTTAAGACAAGTTTACTGTATTGTATTTCTCCTGTCTTTTCATTCAGAATACATTCATCAGTATCATGGATTAATAAATACTGGCTGATGCTAGGCGATACCTGTTCACCATCACCAGCATTACCATGATTGTTGCTAAAATCAGATGCCACACTTCCTTGTGTATCTAAATTTGGTGTTGTGTGTATAGACGTTTCATTTAAAACCTGATTACTTTGTTGAAGGTGAGGTATGAAAGATAGTTGAAGTGCTCTTTTGATGAGATCAGCTTCTCTTCCCTGTTTTTGCATTTTACCTGTACAAAAGATTTAATCACAATTTCTAATAAATATAAGCTATTGAAGCTTCTTTACGATTATTTCCGAGATTAAAATTTACGGATCATTTCAACGTATCGACGGGCATGGGTACCATACATTTTTTTGTGACAACACATCGATGCTTTGTGACATCGCAACACGCTCCATCAATATTTCATTATCATGTGGTTTACATATTTATTTATATACTCAAATTCTAATACGCCCAGATTCGTAACAAAAACAAGTGTTCATCACACGTATGATTGACCCCAGAGGAGTTCGAATCTACTACAGGCAAAGTAGATAATCATCATTGTTATTTATATTTAAAAAAAGTCGTATGTGAGTTGATATTATAATGGAAAAATACATACAACTTTTAGAATCGTATTGTTATTCACACTAAAGATTTAAATAGGAGTTTGATCACGTAATCTTCCTTAAAAAGCATATAATTACAACGAAACTTAAACTATCGACAAATTAATTTCATGCTGACCAACTGAAAACTTCGGATTTTGAAATGTGGGGTTATTTACAATGACTTTGCACACATAAATTAACAATTTGTCAATAATTCCTTATTCTATCATATATTGAAGCTAATAAATTATAAACTTACCTTCTTATTGCTCTATTAATTCACATTTAAAGTATGAAATCACATTTCCAATATTTTTTGTTGCAGAATCCGTTACGTCAAGATATCTTAAACAATGTCAATAAGGAACAAAAAGACGTACGTTAAATATACGAGAATTTGAAACATGAATATAAAATACAACTTTTTGCTTTAGGTTATAAAGTCCAATATGTTCAAACATATACCACAATGACATTTTGACACATGAAAGATTACGTTCCAAACTACGCATACAGCTATTTAAAAAAAATAAAAAAAATTGACATACGTCCTTTTGAACTGACAGCGACGATATGTCAAAGTCAAAATATGTTTTTCAAATAATCTTATTTAAAATACTTTTGAATCGTCCCACATATTTTTCACCAGCTCTAATGGAAGTAACTTAATTTACAAAAACCATGTCATTACCATATCAATAGATATATGAAGTCATTTTACATTACAATATATAATAGAAAAAAAACTATGATCTTACAATGATAACATAATAAGCAACACGATATTTTTGAAATATGTTTTGAGAAAAAAATCACATAATTGCTGGATATAAGAATATTCATGATAAAGATGTGTTAGAGTGTAATAAATAAATAGAAAGTAGCTAAATCCCCCGTATTATAGAGTATGAGACAACGAAGGTAACACGACACAAAAGTATGAGTGAGTATGTATGTGCAGAAACCGTGCGAAGTGGAAGTGGGTTGCGTGAGCGAGGAAGGTTGCGTGTGGGTATCACGCGCGGGCGGCGCTAACATAGTGAGGGATGCACTCGCACTCCTCACCGCGGGCCCGTACCGCAGGCCGCTGCCCGCCGCGCCTCACGCGCCCGCACCTAACGCGCAAACATTATACATCGTGCGCACGCTCGCTGGCGATTGGTAATCTATATATATATATATATAATAGAATTCCCTTAGTCACGCCATCACATGTGATTGGGTGGACCGATTTCGCTAATTCTTTTTTGTTATGTTTATTATTGTCAGGTAATAAGAAAATTGTGTGTAAAAAATTATAATTTAAGAATAACCTGTCTACGAGAAGCTACATCATATGCGATGAAGATAGGCTATATTTTATCCCGAAAAACAGAAAATAAAGGGAATGGAAATAGGAGTTTGTATGGGGAATTGTTTACTATTCAATTTGTCGTTGTAATTATATCCATGTTATAATATGAATCGATATCCAAATACACAGTTCCCTTGGGACCAAAAAAGCTGATCTCGAATAAAATTATGGAATTGGCTACTTGCCTGTTTGGGAAAAGTATTTTAAAACTTTCATGTGATCATATTAAACCACTATCAGATATATTTTCTCCAAAAATAGTTAATGATTTCAAATGGCATTCACTTTCACTTATAAAAATCTTTCAATAAAATATTTAACACTTTAATGCCATTAAAAATGATAAATCTGGATGAAAAGTTTGTGTTCGGAGTATAGGGTGTCTACTGCATATGACATAAGAGCAGCATTAATAAATCTTCAATATACGTATCGTGAATCTGTCCGTTAATTCACCTTCGTATGTTGCAGGGTTCGGTGTACAATCATAAGCGGCTTGGACGGCGAAGGCACTGTCAGGACGCAGTTAGTCGATAGCGGAATGATACTTCGAGCGCCCCTCTCATCGCTAGTGCCGTTACAAAATTTTTCTCCTGCTCTTAATGCTTTCCCTTGGCAGGTCAGTCACCATGCGGCACTACATCTACGATTTTTTCTAACCGGTCCAGAATCTTGATAGTTCCGGATTTTTGCAGTGTATGATTTATCTCATATACGGGCTGTGGAAACAGATCCTAATGTGTTAGGGTATTTGACACTGGTCTGAAAACTATATTATATCATTGTTTGATGCATTATAAACACACTATCATATACATATACATATTATTTATTTTATATCTAAACGATTTACCAGACATAATAAAACATAAAGTGATACTATTTGCTGATGACATTTCTATAATCATAACAACTGACAAAAACTCTTCTTTGGGCCAACATAAAAATGACATAATTTGTACCTTAAAATCAATAAACGAATGGACATATAATAATAACTTAGAAATTAATCTATCAAAAACTAATTTAATGAATTTCAATAATTTTAAAACCCAATCGATTGACATAGCTTTTAACGGACAAATTCTTCAGAATGCAACAAGTGTTACATTTTTAGGACTAATAGTTACGCCAACATTGACCTGGAAAGAACAAATAGATAAAATATGCAATAAGGTAAATGGATTTGCTTATGCATTGTACAAATTAACCAAAGTTGCAAGCTTAAATACTGCCATTACAGCTTATTTTGCGTACGTAGAAACAGTTTTAAGGTACGGTTTAATCATTTGGGGTAATGGTACTGATGTAACAAGATTATTGATTGCTCAGAAACGCTGTGTTAGAGCTATATGCAATTTGACATCAGACATATCATGTAGACCTTATTTTATTTCTTTAAAAATATTAACACTGCCCTGTCTGTATATATTAGAAGTGGCGATGTTTGTGAAGCAAAACGAAAAATTCTTCGTGCGATCGAGTAATGTAACTGAAAGAAGTTTGAGAAACCCGAACAAAGTAGTACATACATCGATACCCAAAAAAAAAAAATTAAAAAAAATAGCCTCTTTATGTGTACAACTGTCTTTAATAAAATACCCAATGATATAAAAGATTTGCCGGTTACTCGTTTTAAAATATTATTGCGTAGATGGCTGATTGAAAAAGCTTTTTACTCGATTGGTGAATTCCTTAATGAAGGATAGTTTATCAGTAATTAATTTGTAAGCATGATAGTCGATACAAAGTTTTATAAATAATTTTACATAATTGCATCTGACATACTTATGTTTACTAAACTAAATTCCTTGACATGTTCAATAAGTTTAATATTTCCATTTGACATCTTATACATTTTTTAATTATTTTATTTTATTTTTTTTGTACAATTTGATAAAATTGACATGATTAATAACGTTTTGACACAATTGTAATATTTTGATTAAATACTATTATTGTTAAATTTGACACAATTTTATGTAATTATGAAATATTTTAAGTTTCATCAATTTTATTATTATTATTAGGTATTATTATTATTATTTTTTGCATGCTGTTCAAAATGGCTAAATAGGTCAAAGTTCTTAAACTGAAATATCACAACTGTATATATAACCCTATTTATTGCAAATAAAGATATTATTATTATTATCAATACATTTCATGGGAAACTGTTATATTTTCGATGAAAATAATTTTTAAAGTTTAAACAGCCAAAAACGCACAGAAAACGCTTTTTTATGTAATGGCGCTGACCACGTGGTATTTGTGACGTCACACGCTTATTGTAAATAGGTCAAGGGGACATAACCTATTTATCAACTATTTATTTACGAAGTAAACAAATGGTATTACAGAAGTGAAATTGAAGTTAACTTTTGTTTTGTATTATCGTATCTATTCTGGTTTTCTATATAAAATGAGCTAAAAATTGTATAAATACAATTTTGCATATCTCTAGTAACACTGCTTTGACATGACAGCTTCCTGTTTACGTCTGACGTCAAACGCCGGTAAACAGAACTTGTTATTGATAAATCAACGACAAATTACGTCGTCTCATAAATTTCTAAAAATGTTGCATGTTCTTTACGTTATTATACAGCTAAACACATTTTGTTTGCAGACTAAGAAATAAACTTTATTAGATTATTTACTAACAGGATGATTGCAACACGGAACTTATTTTCAATAGTGTCAAATACCCTACATAATAAAAAATATTTTTGTGAAACCTCGTTCTGTTTTTAATTGTAATATATATTTAAAAGTTTTGCACCACCACTTACATATGCGCTGCGGAAATACACCTTAAACCATCCCACTTGCTCTCCTAAATCCGTCCCTGTTTACTTATTGAACAGGGATGACCACTGGGTAAAAAAAAATCTATTTAGTCCGTCGATCAGATAATAGAAAAATATTAGATGCGGTTTTTTTTTGCTTCAATTTAAACAAGAAATGGCTTAAATTAAAGTTGAGGAGGGCTCTTTACCTCACATTTCAACACAAAGTATCGCCACAATTTATTGATTACGCAAAAAATGTGTTTGATATTCTTCAATAATTATGAAGATTATAATCTTCATAAGAAACAATAAATTAGTCATCATCCCACATAATGAATGTTTCGGTTTCGAGTAGGCGCTCCAGGTGCGGTTAGGTTCAGCGGAGCGGGCGGCCAGTAGCATGGTGCCGCGGCTGCGCGACTTGTTGCTGGGCGCGTGCGTGTTGTGCCGCGCCCTACCGTCGCCGCCGTCGGGCGCGCACTCCGCCCACTCGCCGCCCCACGTCGAACTGTTCGTGCGCACCGGACCGCAGAACATACTGGCATCCGTCAACAACGCGATCCTCATGGAGTACGAGTACCTGCAACTGTGAGTGTGCACATTTATTTTCAATTAGTGCGAAAAATACAAATATGAAAATTATTTTTTTACTTTAATTATGCTCGCTACATATTTATATACTTATGTATAATTAATATTTATGTTCGAAATGTATAAGCGTATATGTGGTGTCGGCTGAGTAGAATAGCACCACACCATATCTTTCCGTGGGCATCGTAAGAGGCGATAAAGGGATTATATAAGAGATTTAACGGATAGTGGTTTGGCTGGATACCTGATATTCGGAGAGTTCCGAGGCCGGAGCGCCGGATATCCGGCTATGGAATATTTTTTCTAATTTAGAATACGCTAACTACCTTGAATATTTAGCAATACGTTGTGGGTCAGTGTAGAAAAATACACGTCATTATTAATTAGAATCGGACAGTATAATTATTTCGCTATTTTTATACATATTTATTATTATTTATTATACACAGCTGTAACATTCACGCGATTAACTCATTTATATTAACATTATAAAGAGGAAATAACCATTTAAATAATTATAGGAGTTGCTAACAAAAAACGCGTTTTTTGTTTTCTCCCTACCACTGGTGGTCTCTTTAGTAACCAGAACGTAAGTCGACAAAAATATTTTTTTTTGAGGTTAAGGTTACTTGAAATATAAACGTTTGAGTGGGCCTAATAGGCTGCAAAACTACTGGACCATCATATAAAAGCTCCATCATATGCGGGTGATATAGACTTTAATTTGCGTGGGCGAATTTGCGGGTAAACAGCTAGTATTTTATACTGACATCCTGCAAGGAGAGCACCTGTTCGAACCCCACTTTGGGACAGTGTAACAGTTCTCTCTACATGTGGTGAAACACATTGCTTTCTTATGGATGGAATCAAATAGGCAAAAATCGAATGGGTAACTGGATTTAGGACTGCAGATGCAGCCATAACCAACAAGTAAATGTAACTTTAAATAGTTGATTTTTGGTTACCCATGTTACAACTTTGCTAAAGTTAAGTAAACATCTACATCGTAGATAGAATGCCATCGATCCATTCTGCCTTCGAGCTTGTTAACAATATTTTCTTTTACTAGCATTGACATGATATCGATATGTGGTATTATAACTTGTTAATATGTATAAATTTTAATGGATAATTAATTCTATCAATGAAATTTTTTAAGTTAATTCAATTGTGTAATAACCGAATTCTTTTCATATTATATCAACCTTATACTTATATTTACTTTCACTCATAATACATTTACAGTGCTATTAATAAACAAGGTTAAGCATCAGAGTAAATATACGCTAAAAATGCAATTTAAGTATCTAGTCCAAATACTTATTATACAGAGAATAAGCAAACCTACTACCTTCAAGGAGTAAATATTACTCCCGTAGAACCTCTTACTATGTAAACCTTTGCTAAGTCTCTGTTTAATAATATGAATTTTGACTAATACTAAGTGCAGTTTCAGAGTAAATTTACCAACCTTGTTTATTAATAACACTAGTAGAGTTAATAACGATTCCATTCTAATATCTAATAACTTAATGTTATTAATAAAAAGCTGAGTGTCTGTTTGTAAATAACCAACTTAAAAAAGTCTGAACGATTCCATCTTCAAAATCTAACTTGTGATCGCTCTGAGAAAACGTTCTATTTACTTCTGGTAATTTTGTATTTTCTCTATATCGTGACTGAATCGTGAACATAATTCGTAGGGACAAAGCGAAAGAGGAGGAAAAGGAGGCTACAAACCACGTGGAGGAATTGCACAAGAAAAAAGAGCGCATCTTCCGCAGTCCATCGTCGAGCGGCGCCCTCAGCGAACAGACGGGCGCCGCCGCCGCTCTGCCTCCGCCGACACTGCCCGCGCCCGGCAAGTGCTTCGACGTCTACATAGCTATGGCAGCCAACCCGTGGAACTTCGTAGTCAGTATCAAACCATGCGATATTAATGTAGTAGGTTATTGAAATTCTAGTCTGTTTGAAATAATACTTGTAACTGTTAATTTTAACCTTAAAAGCCTTATAAAAAATATTTGTTGACTAACTAAGACTTTAAACTTTTTTTTATACCCACGAAATATTCGTGATGCCATTGTAATATGTACACAAAACAGATGCATAGAGTAGAAGGTTAAAAGGTGTCAATGAAACGAGAACAACACCATTTAACCATAAAAAGATATAGGTAATTAAGCTAAGAACAACGCTATCTAGGAATTTGATTTATAACTATTAGGCATATCTTTATGTCTAATTTTACAGTTGTCGCCATAGTGACGTCAAACAATGGCGGGTCGTGTTTCAACTCACGTGACACACAGACAATATATCACGACTTAATTTTAACATAATAAGATAATCGCGCGATTATAAGCTTCAAAATAAAGATCTATGTTTATTATGATGCAAATTTTAGTATTTATGCAATTTCGTGACTTATTTATTTAACTGCCCAAACGAAAGATACTCAATTGTTACACAAACGATTTGAATTTTTCAAAATGAACTCACGTGCCTATTATCAGTAGTATCAATTAATTGTCATTCTGTGTTGACATTTTGAACAATGACGTTATTGTTTTTAGCGTTTTGTTTACAGTCTTTAAATGGGAAAATTATTTGATTCTTAATTTATTGATTAAAATTTAATGTTTTTTAAAATTCTTCATTAATAACATTTTGTGGTAACGTGATGTGATATGATATCACATAATATTCTTTCGTCAAGTCAAGTCGCAGCCGAAAATGGCCGACGCCTTTACAAGAACAAATTGATTCTGTCGAGTGATTATACTTACAAGCGGTGTTGTATCATTTGACAAAAATAAATCATAAATGCTAATTAAAAAAATAATTGTAAATTTATGCTAAATAAGGTTGCCATTTTATGGACTTTCTATCAATAGCTCATTCAAGAAAACATTATAAAAGCGTTGATATTGTTTAATTAACATCCACTTGTGTAATTTATTTTTAAAAACTTTTTTTTTTGAAGGTGCAACCCAACAGCACTAGGCCAGCCCTTCAATCAATGATGTCCACTTTACAAAGTGAATGTCCGAAGTTGACTGAGGCAGACGCTCCTGTTAATCCTGCTAGTGGCGAGTTATACACTGTCTATTATGACAAGGACGCCTCCTGGTATAGGTAAGATTAAATATGCTAGGATCAAATATTTTTATCAAAAAAAAAAAATAGTAAATGAATGCATAATATATTTTTATATATTACAAAAACGCATGATTTTAGATTTTTTCACCTAAACATAACAAACCAGAAGAGATCATGATAAAGCAACACCAAGGCCCAACAGAGTTACTATATGGAAAGTTCTGGCTTTCAAACATCGGAGGGACCAATTAGAATTCTTGTAGGTTTGGATTTTCATAAACCCAAACTATATTATTCCCTGAATGAAATGCTTGTATTTAAATAATTTGGTATAGTTGATGAGTCGTTCAATTGATAAAGAGAGATTGATGTTACTTTAGCCAATTAACCTTTAATTGTATATTTAACTTAATATCTTATTTCATCTTTGTCTGTTGGTGAAATTTAAATTGAATATGTTTATATTTTACTTTCTTTAACAGAGTGACAGTTGCCGGTGCCGTATCTGCAGAGATGGTATCCGTGTATTTTTGTGATTATGGAGATCTGGCTTTGTTTCCTACGAAAGATTTGCGCCCAGTACCTCCTGGAGCGCCACTCGCTCGATCTTTGCCGCCTCAAGCGATAAAAGCACGTCTATACGGTAAGGAAAGGGATATTCACTCTATTTATATACCTTAATATTTTTCATTGTGCCTATGTATGTCTCCGTGCTTAATATATTCTTCTTAGTTCTTTAGTGATAAAAAGATTACACAACTTTTTTAAGTTTACCGTAAACACAGAGTTCTAACTGTGACAGAGAGTTCAATAGCGCTACAACTAGATTATCTTCCGGCATGACATTCGGCATTTAAACTCTGAGCTTCGATCAACAATACAACTAGACGCCTTTTGATGCCTCAAAAATGGCCATAGAAATAATGCCTTACTTCATAGTGAGGTATTATTTTGTTGGTGAACGGCGCCAACGCTCTGACGTGTTACGATGCCAAAATGCGTACTAAAACTACAAAAATAACTATCTGAATAAAAACGTATCCTGGTAGGGTCGCCATCTGATATTTGAAGAGTGGTTAAATTAACAAAAAACGTCCGTTCGGAATAAGTGACCTTTATTCACTGTCTGTATCAATACACCACCTCTTGGAATGTCATAAATTTTTTCAGGTTGTAAATGTCATTTTAAAATTATATAATTAATAATCTATACTCCATTAGAAAAAAAGGGTCATAGAAGCAGCAGTGCAGAACATTTTATATATTTTTATATAAATTAAAAAATATATATATTATAGTTTTGTTGCAACTTTGCACGTTAAGTGGCCTCAAAGAGCTGAGCAATTTTCTAAATTTTACGATCCCTCAGGGTTGCAATGAGGCCAGCATTTTCTAAATTCATCTTTAGTCCCAAGCCAACATGGAACTAAAATATCTATCTGTTGATTTGATTATAATTAGAATATAATTTAGTTATATCTATGCCCAATAAAGAAAGGTAAACAAAATGAAATTTTTATTATTACTCTTATAACATTTATTCAGACATTAGACTATTGATGAAGACATTGGTAAAACTTCATGAAATGTCAAAGGTTGAGGGTAGGTATGGGGGCTTAGAGCGTAATTGTTGTAGGCCACTCGGCCCTGCACCGGCATCGTCCAAATTTAATAAAACTTAACAACAAAAATAAAACAATAGCAACTTAATCACGGAAAAAAACAAGAAAGGCAGTAGCATTCACGATAGATGACAATGCCAGATTACGTATTCTGACAATTATGAATACCTCATAGTCTGACAAAATTAAAAAACTGTACTGCCGAAACGTTTGAAGGGATTAAGCAACGTTTTAAATTTGGTAGAATTATACTGCCCTGCTAAGCGCAAAAGCGGTATCTCAAAAAAAATCGTAAAATTGATTTTTATGCCATCGGATAGCTTTAAAAAATACGCATCTACTGGACTAAGCCATTTAGCACTATCTTGTTCAAAACGTATGAAAAAACCTTAAGAAAGATTTTTCTATCTCAGTTTTACCATATATCACTAAGGGTGTTAGAGGTATATTAATATTACGTAGGCAACCAGCCGCAAATTTAAATATCGCTAAAATTCTTAAATAAATACACAACTTTTGCTTAGCCGATAAGCGGTAAGTAGGATGAGTAAAATCAGTAATGAGTTACCGCTATAATGCTTAGTATTTTAATGCTTGCATAATACGCAAATTGTTATGAATTAGTGAGATACGGTTGCAATAGCAAAATTAAATTAGCCCTTATGGTTTTACTGGATAAGATCGAATTTCTAATACATTTTACAGTGATTTATCCCTGCCCTTGGCAAATTCGTTCGCAAATTCGTGTCATAACTTGTTTGTTTTTGTTGTGAAGAGGTCATGATATTTGTGCAAAATTAAGAAAAAAACTGTAAATTAAGGTGCTTAATGGGGTAACTTCATACATTGACATTCAGGTAAGTCCTATTAAATATTATTTTAGCATTTTGTAACCATAATCATTGCAAAATTAGAAATTTTGTGTTAAACTTTCTTGCGGTTGGCGTGCGCGCCCTCGTACGCATTCGTACTTAGCAAAATTGACCTTGATCTACCAGAACATAAAGTACATTATTTTTAATCATATTTTCCCAGCCATACGGTTATTGTTGTTCCGATGATAATAAGTTGATTTGCACTTTACATTACGTAAGTGCAATATTTTAATTTATTTCCCAAATATATAATTTGTATTATGTTTGTTAAAGATAACTAAACGTTTTTGATGAATAAAATAATTCAGTTATACTTATTAAATATTGTTACAGATAAACCATGTCGCAAAGAAATACGAAAATGATGATGCTTTTAGCACAAAAAAATAAGGCGTTGAGGGAAAAGTTTAAGGAATCCAAACAATTACAACGTAATATTAAAACGATCGATCCCGACTTTTTTCCTACTAGTGATTCAGATGATGATCCCGCATTTTCAAGATTCAACAGTGCTGATCAATTACTAGCTCCGATTCTTCCTTCCTCAAATGGTTTCGACTTTGAAGATTCACATTTTTTATCGGGTCCGTGTACATCACACGTTGATTATTTCGCTATGCATCAGGATGATCAAAACACAGAAATCGGGAATAACAACAAATCCCCTAACTCGTTGATCACATTGACAACTGTGCCAATTATTGAACATAATGATTTAAGTGACATATCATCGCCAGGCTTTTGTTTTAATACACACAACATACACAATGTTTTTAATTGCGGTAATCCATAACCTTTGATCACAGATACTATTGAAGATCAACAAAGATCCTGTATTTTTCAAGATGATACAGAAAAAATATTGATAACTGCTTCCGATAATACTATTTGCACTTCTGAATCTCTTAGGAATAATTCAAATGTGATAAGTGTTCAATACGAAAAATCTGTTGAGAATTCATCTCAAGGACACGAAGTGACACCAAATGATAATCTTAGGGACACCGAGAATCTGACACAAAACGAGATAGCTGATGGAAATACACATAATCTTACAACTTATACTAAGGCCGGTACAATTAGGAAAAGAAAAAAACACGACCAACCTCTCAAAGTCAGAAATGAAGTGAAAAAAAGTGAGATTAGAGAGAAACATAACGTTAAACCACCCTGTCCTGCTTCATGCAAAAAGCAGTGTATCCAAAATATATCGGAAGAGCAGCGAAAAATTATAAATGAGAGCTTCTGGAGTTTGAATGACAAAGAGAGGAAGGCTTATATGCTGCATCACACCTCAGCTAAATCTGTGAAACAAAGAACAGTAACAAGATTTGAATCAGAGGAGTACAGAAAAAAAGTAAGCTACAGTTATTCACTTAAGGCCGTGCTCGGTACAAAGTATGGAGTATGTAAAACCTTCTTTTTGACAACTTTGGGCTACAAATCATCTAATGACAAACCTTTACATACGGCTTTGGCCAATTCTAACGACACGGTTGCACCACCAGTAGACAAAAGGCTGGGAGCTACTCCTCACAATAAAATTGAATCTACTCCTATTAAGGAACATATAATGAGCTTTGAGCCGAGTATATCTCATTACAGGCGTGAACACGCTCCCAATCGCTTATACTTACCCAGTGATTTGACAATCAGTGCGATGCATAAAGACTTTTTAGAAAAAAATCCGTCTTGCAAAGTATCTTACGATAAATATCGAGAAGTAGTCGCAGAATTAAATATTTCTTTTGTAAAGCTTGGCCACGAAGAGTGTGAGGACTGTGAAGAGTTCCGTTTACACGATGATACACATACCAAAGAAAACCTTAAAGAAGACTGTCTAGGTTGCACGAAGTGGAAAAGTCATAACAAACGGGCATACATGTCCAGAGAGCAGTAAAAAAACGCATGAAAAACAAAATTTATGATTTCGCAGATTTTTCTCAGGCAGTTAGCACTGCAGGAAAAAATGTAAAACTTAAAGAGATGAACATGCAAGACTTTTATGACTGGGATGATTATACCACACAACATGCACTGTCTCGAATTAAACCGCGTCCATATGTCAGCGAAATGGTTGAAGTTGAAGTTAAAAGAGGCAGTTTTGATATCACCTACAAAACAGGATTCGATCAAAATGCAATTACTGCTAGCATTATAGGAAAAAAAAATTTAAAAAGTCATGTCTTGCCTCCACCAAAAAAGAAAACTGCTCCGGAAGGAATTTCAAGAAACAAAAAAGAAAATATTTTGAAATCTTTTCAAAATATAATACCACAAAATAGAATGTCCTTTTGGAGAGAACTCCCTACTTTTGACTACTAAAATTCCTTCCAAAAACCGTTTGTTTTTAAATATTTTTTTATGTAATTTCAAATTTTAATAATAAAAAAACGTTATATATATACTTTAATTGTTTTTTTTTTCAAATAATACATATTTTATTCGATAGAAAATACATTCCTTTTTGTATACACACATGTTTGAGAAGAGCTAACGAAAAAGCGGTATCTCAATTTTAATTCTATAGTTTACTAAGCGGTGTAACCGTATCTCATGAATAAAGTACATTATTATACATTTTTGATAATTTAACTAATGTGATAACAAATACACCCTATATAATATATAAATAATATTTAACAAATAAAAAAAACTATACATAAAGTATATATATAACTATTTTTACATAACTTCAATTATCTCAAAACTCGCTTTCTTTGAGTTACCGCTTTTGCGCTTAGTTGGGCAGTATAGTGACATGAGAATCGTGCCCAAACTATCCAACCCTGCTTCTTTAGGTTCTTTAAGATGAACACTTTTTATTGTAATAGTTATTAAATCATTTAAGTTAATCAAATACTCATAAATTTGTCTAATAGATAGCTTAAATGATAACAGTTAAGTATAGCAGCTGGTATTTAAGTGAATATGTAGCAAATTAGCCGTCAGTCTTAAGAGTAACATGATTATTGATATTTTGTCACAAAGTATACCATAAAAAGAACCTTATTTAACTTCTGTCTAATGCTATAATTAATGGAGTATAAGTGTTTTCAATATAATAACAGTTTTGTTTATGTTCGATGTTCTAGAGCAATTCGTGCAACCGGGCGCCTGTTGTGCTTAAGACGGGCCTGTATTTGAATATTGTTTCAGTAAACGAGGCGTTATGTTGTATTGTTGATTGAGAATTCTGAGATCGTTTATTAGGGTTCCGTACCCAGAGAGTAAATCGGTACCCTATTACCACAGACAACCTCCAAAGAAAAAAAATTTTTTTGGCTTAATTAACCCCCTTAGAAGATTTAACTTAATATTTTCATATGAACGCGGTGGCACAACACTCATTTTATGTGTTTTGTGTCTCAGCGTATTTTATCATAACTTTAAATTAGAAAGTGTAACAGGTAAAACCAGTGCTACAACGAACGAAATGCAAAATGGTTATTTTTGGAGAGTTTTGGTTGGGATTGAATATCAAAAATGTGTTATTCTCTCGTTCTTAAATACAACTTATTTAATCGTATTTCTTTGTATAAGATCGATTTATGAAAGTTATTCTTAGACTGATTTAAAGTTAGTGATTTTAGGCGTACGCGTTCACTGAATCCTTGCCGTTGGATGCCTTGTCCATCAATTGGTTTAATGTTTTATAAATTGTAAATTAAATAAATAGAAATAAAATAAAGTATATTATTAATGATATCCAATGGTTACATTACATAATATCGGTCAATTATCGACGTGTCTTTAACAAATAATGTTTCCCATTGCTACGGAATACGTGTCTTTGTACTAGTTAATTGCGTCGCCGCAGTTACCTCGTCCGCCACCTACCCACTGCTAAGATTGGCATCTTTATTTCATCATCAAAATAGTCTTCGCTGTCCGTCCATCAGTCTTATCACCAGGCTATGTATCTCATGATACTGTTGCCGCTGTAACAATAATTACTGAAAATGGAATAAAATAAACATTTAAGGGGGCTCGCATACAACAGACTTGATATTGATCACGGCAATAGGTAGATGGCGTAGATGGCGGCAATTAGGATGTTACAGAAACCTTCGTGCGCGAGTCCAACTCGTACTTGGCCTGTCTTTAAAATAAGACAAATACTATCTTTTGCCCTATTTCATAATGTACCTCTGTAATTTGCAGATGTGTGGCCGCTTCATCAAGACTGGACTGTGGAAGACTGTATTAGATTTCAAGAATTGTGTGTGGAGCAGCAGTTTGTTGGAATTTGTAAAGACGTTGGCAAAGACCCTTTGAACCCCAACGAACCACTTTTGACTCTCGACCTCATTGACACCTCAACAGATGAGGATATTTATTTAAACAAACAATTAGTCACTGAATGTAGGGCACGACTAGCTTCTGCGTCTTAATTATTAGTTGTATAATTATTCTGCTTTTTGTTGTTATAGCCACAAAAAAACAGAAAATTAAAAAAAAATGTATTACGTTCCACTGTTTTTATGTTGTATAATTAAACCCAGTGTTGATGTTATTTTTGATATTGAAATAATTCCTTACATTGGGATATTGTTAAACTTTGTTTCCGTTCCATTTTATGTAGGAAATATTTAAATTTAGCACTTAAACTATTGCTGAACTCTGATATGTATAATTAGATTAAGATATCATAATATGTAATTCAAAAATTTAACAAGACATAGCAACTTCCAAGTGTTAGTATGCATGATTAGACAATTTTGCATATGTGTTATTCAAAGGAACTTTACTTTCACTTTTAAAACTTCTACTGAATTAGGACAATGTTATACTTGCTTGTAGTTATAACATGAACATGTGTACTTTTACATCTGAAATGCCGTTCCTTCAATATCATTTCAATGTAATCTTTCCGAGTTTTCAATAATATATATGAACAATATAAATGTAAATCATTAATTATCTCACTAAATTCGTTCATTTCATGGCTCTGAACAAAAGAATACCGCAATCTTTGAGGTATTTTCTTTTTTTTTATTATTTGTTGAAATAATATATTGTAACAGTAATTCAGTATGCATAATTAAAACTGGTTCTATCTATATTATGTTTATTTTATCTTCCTAATATTTTAAACACAATTATTTGCAATCGGTTACATCAATCTTTGTTGCAGTGTGCATCAGGGATGTGACTGCTAACTTCTAGCTGTGACTAGTCGTAAGATACGACATCTCAATTGACGTTTTTATCTAACCCGCGCGGTTCGATACATGGGCGTCATAAATAACAATGATTAGAGTTGTCAGACTGAAATTTATTTACAAATAAAATAATGCAAATCATCATGATAAATCATATGCCCAAGCAGCAGTTTTCCTGGACTCAATGGCATTAGTAATATAGAGCATGTCCTTCTTAACTGAAGTAATTGTTGTAGTAATTGAATAATTGTCGTGATGGCAAACTTTCCAAAAATGATTTAAATTTAACAATATAATCATCTTTCAATAAGGATAAGGCTTTTTGATAACGGCTTTTCTGTGTACTAGTTAATGATTCCCAAGTTTCAGTAGAATGTTTATTTCTCGATTTGATCATTTTAAATAAATCTTTGGCATACCTGAAATAGATAAAATAAATATTCCCAAATTAAGTAGCTGAAGCACTTGTTTACATAACATATGACATGACGAAATATTTTTTTATGGAAAAGGGTATGTTGCTTTCGGATCTGATTATATGAAAAGTTTAACGAAATAAGGTGTTTCCAAACTGGGTAAAATCTGATGCATGCTCTAACCACATGACATTTATAGGTGTATGTTTTAATCAAAAACAAATGGACGACACTTATCTCATGCATATTAGATATTATCTTAATTTAGTATTAGAGCAGAATTTCAATTGAAAATTATGACATTTTGCATTATCAATAGTATTTAAAAAAAGCATTGTTGTTTTGATGTCAGTTATCTAGATAACAATGATATATGACTAGTCCTATGAGGTTGTTGATGTATAAGTTTTTACCCTGTTATATTAATTAAAATCTGAGGTAATGGATAAACAGATAATAAAGTATTACAGTGTACTTGGTGGTACTGGTTCAGCTAAAATATCATTTGAAGTCTGATTAGAATTTGTAAAACTATCAGTTCTCGGTGGTGACTGTGGAGTGACATTTAAATCACAATGTGTTATTCCAACTTCATCCATGTTGTCAAGTGATGATAAATTTTCAACCTCCCTTTCTAATGTGCATGGAACAGGTACTTCTTCATCTATAACAATTTTTTCTGTATTTATTTGTTCATTATAAAGTTTTTTGTTTACTGTTAGATCTGAAACAGCCCTGTAAAAGATATAAAAAACAACACATTATTTTAGAGTAGCAGCAATTCCAACCTCTCGGACTTTAAATTGATCTTTTGAATCTTTATGCAAAGCAATAAACCAGAAAAGCTAAAATTAGAAAGCATTAATAGGTTTTTTAGTTGGCAGGTCATTTTTGGTTTAGTTCTGTCACACAAGTTCTCACATATGTTACATGTTTTTCTTTTGTTCAAATCAAATCAAAATTATTTATTTATTCTAGGGTGTTACAAGCACTTATGAAAGTCAAGAGCTATACCATGTTCCTCTCATACATCTCATTAATTCTATACAGCTTAGTTTCTAATCAAACAGACAATCTAATCTTTCCTCTTTGTAGTATTAATATAGAATGTCATTCCTTCTGTCCATTCTTGCCAGTACAGCATTTACAGGAAGGATATTTTGGTTATGAATTTGAAGTAATATGAAGAAACAAACAGCTAAGAATTACATATTAGAAAATGAGCTTTTAATTTACATAGAAATGTAATAAAGCACATAAATATTTTACTATATATTTTTATGTTGTATTTTACTATTATCTCTTTATTTACGTTTTCATAATCAATATATTTTTTTTTTTATTATTCCTGAACATTTTAATTATATACACCGTTCAATACTGAGAATACTTTATAACACCCTCAAATCTTTGTGAGGTTCATTATGGGGAAGGACAGACTGAAAATCATAAGTTAACTGTCTCAAGGACTATTTCTTCATTATCTTATAATTACCTATTCCTTTTTAAATATTTTTTCTTTAAAAAAGGTTGTGCTTTGCTTAAATAATTAGCCATCTTCTTTTTATAATTAATTTCACATTCTTTGTATTTGTTTATAAATTGTTCTCGTTCATTTTCATTGAGAGTAACCCATGACTGTATTGCTTCCATCATTTTGTTCTGAAAGGATTAAAAGTAAATCTGGTTTTAATTAATGAGTTCACTTATATCATCTTTATAAAGGTCCGAGTTTTAGGTAGATGGACAACAACTGTAGAAATATTTTAGATACAGCCAGGTAAGATTTAGTGCATTATAAATGGATGAATGTTACATGTTTATTATATAATCACAAAAGCTTTGGACGAAATTTTCCAGAAAACAGTTATTGAAGCTGACGCATCTAGAAAAATACCAAAACATGATAATATTATCTAAACAACGCCTTAGTATCTGGTTGAAATCCTGATTCTGATATATTTAAAAATAAGAAATAACTGAGGCTAAAGTGAATATTGCAAATATGAGTATGGATTAGTAAATTAAATAATTATATTTCTTACTTTGGGTGCGTTCCTCTTTTTACAATATAACCTTATATATAATTTTAAAACAGTGGTAGGATAGGATTTTTTATATACTTTTTGCTCCATTTCTTTTTAACTGGATAGCGTTACACTGTTAACCTGCGTTAGCCGAGTTAGCACAGAATTTAACTTCTTTTTAAATTCTAGTCAAATCTTGAGTTCTATGATTTTTTTTTTTTTTTTTTTGTTTATTTATTAACGGCTTTGGAAATATCCATACAGCCACATCTTTAGTACATTGTTCTTTATAAAGGTAAAATATCCTTTTATATTCTACACAACATCAAGTTTTCATATTAAATCAAAAGTTGAAATTATGAACTTGTAAATACATTCGTACGTATCTTCATTTTCTAGTAGCGATGGCAAGAGGCGGGGTATGTCTTCGTCTTTATATATCTTCATTAGGCCATCTACTAGAAGCAACCTTTGGACATTAAAGGCAGGACAATGCAGAATCAAATGGTCTAATGTAGCTGCTGTTGACTCACAATACTCGCATATATCCGACGAAACAATCTTAATTCTCTTCAAGTGTGCTGGGAATTTGCCATGGCCAAATCGCAATCTATTAATTGTAGTGATGAACTTTCTTGACGGAAATTTCCATTTGAAATACCAAGGCTTGGGTGGAATTCTTTTTTGAATTTGGGCATACCAATTTCCTTTATAAAGTTTTGTGTTTTCCCACATTTCATGCCAATGGTGATACATTCGACACTTCAAAACAGCATTGTAATCTGTCAGCGGGACTGGAGGTGCAAGATAAGGATTGTTATTTAATATTGGATGTTCTATTTTCATTAGTTTGTCCACAGTTTCATTGCCTGTTATTCCTGAGTGAGATGGTACCCATAAGAACTCAATTTCTTTGTCTAGGTTTTCCATTAGTAGCTCTCTGATTTTTGTGATGTATGTGTTATTTTTATACGAAATAGATACATTCTCCAGACATGTAAGGACACTAAGGGAGTCGGTTATAATCAAAAAATATTTGTTATCTCTGATTCCTCTAATATATTGCAAAGCGGTATAAATGGCATAAGCTTCAGCTGTAAATATAGATGAGTTTATGTCCAAACTAAAACATCTTCCAAATTTAGCTTTTGAATCATAATATGCAGCCTTCGTATTTTTTTCTGTCTTCGAACCATCTGTGTAAATTTTGCGATGTGCAGGTTTTTCAGTGTCTATGAATCTTAGAAACTCCGTATTGTTTACAATTCTAACATGACAAACTTTAGGAGTAGTCAAATGAATTTCTGTTGTACTGAAATCCCAATTAACCCTATGGTCTATGTGTTTACATATCAACTTCAATTCCTTCAAATATTCACATTGTAAAGATTGATTACATTCATACATATAACAATACATTTTATTTGCTAAAATTCTTATAAACATTTTTTCAAAGAGATACCGAAATCTGACATATATAGGAGGTATGCCTGCTTCAATTTCTAGAGAGTTTATAGGCGTGGAACAGATAGCTCCTGTAATAATTCTTAGGCCCCTATTTTGTATGATTTCTAATTTACGAAACAAAGTTGAATTAATATAATTTCCATAAGCTACTAATGCATAATCATAATGGCTTCTAACTATTGCTTTATATAAAATATTCAAAATTTTAGGATCCATTCCCCAAGTTACACTAGCTAAATGTCGCATTATATTTACAGACCTCTGCATTTTACAGACAATTTTATTTACATGACGATCAAAATTAAGTTTCGTGTCAAACACTAAACCTAAGAACACTTTTTCTTGGACAGTCGCAATATTTACTGAACTATATACAATATTTACAGAATTTAAATAATCATTTTTCTTATTAAATACCAGAACAGAACTTTTATTTGGATTAATATCTAATTTTAATTTGTCTTTGTAATACGAATGAAAGTGACGTAATGCTTCATTTAAAGTTGATTCTGCTTGTAATAAGTTCTTATTAGATGTATACAACACAATATCATCAGCATACTGAAGAACAGATAGTTGTGGGATTGATACAAATCTATGAATTTGTGATGTATATAATAAATATATTAAAGGTGATAATGTCGCTCCTTGCGGTAAGCCCTTGAAAGCCGTTTTAGGACCATGTAAACTGTTATTAAACTTAATGAAAACTGTTCGGGAGTAAAAGAAGTTAAAAATCCATTTACAAATTTTGCCAGGTATATTGAAGCTGTGTAGTATTTCAACTAAGGTTGATAAATCAACGTTATCAAAAGCTCCACTTACATCGAGAAAAGTACTAACTAAATAACTGTCATGATCAAACGAATCCTGTATGTCACCGCAAAATTTTAATATGCTATCTATTGTACTACGGCCTTTACGAAATCCGAATTGATCATGGGGTAAAATTAATCTAGACTCTGCATACAATTCTATTCTTGTTTTTAGCATATTTTCAAAGATTTTACTCACACATGATGATAAAGATATGGGACGATATGAATCAGCACACTTAGGATCTTTATCTGGTTTTAAAATAGGGACAACTGTAATAACTTTCCATGTTTCAGGTATTAACCCGTTGTTCCATAAATCGTTCAAAACTTTTAATAAAATAGACTTAGCGTTTGGATCAAGACGTTTTATTAAAATATAAGGTATATTATCTAAACCTGGGGAGGTATCTTTTTTATTAGTTAAAGACAAGTTAAATTCTGCTTGTGAAAAGGGTAATGCAAGGTGAGAATTGAATTCATTATATTGAAAAAAATATTTTAATTGATCTGTATTAACTGGAGGTTGATAGGGAGCAATTTTCTGTAAAAAATCTTGTAAAAACGTTTCATCTCTGGCTTTCGGTGATGAATTTTTGTGATTAAGAATTTTAACAAATCTCCAAATGCAACTAATTGGTGTATTTCTATCAAAACTAGAGCATAAGTTTTTCCAACTTATTGCCTTCTCCTGTTTAATTATTAATTTTTTCGACGCTTCTATTTTCTTATATAGTAAATAATTTTCTATAGATGGAAACCGTCTATACATCTGTAAAGCAAATCTAGCCTCTTTCACTGCATTCGAACAGGATTCATTCCACCAAGGCATTGGTTTATGAAGCTTTGATTTATTATTGCTATCAATTTTATGTACAGGAATAAACTCATTTCTTAATCTATCTAATAAAATACAGAATTTATCATATGCTAGAAGGGGTTCTTGTTCGTATTTTATGTCAGTAAAGTAAGTACCAGATTTAATTGTATAGCCTGTCCAGTCCGCTTTTTTGTATAAAAACTTTTCTGTACGATAAGAATTGTCATATATATTATGATCAATGTTTAAATTGACTATTGTGGGAAAATGATAACTTCCTAGTGTATCTTCATTGTAAACAGACCAATCTGCTGATGGTGCTAGAGTAGGTGATATAAATGCAATGTCAATAGCAGATGCAATTTGATTCGGACGAGCAAGTGTCGTAGTTTGACCATCGTTTAGTATGTACATATTAAGTTCATCTAACATATCATAAATCTGTATGCCTCGAGGCTTATTGTTAGAGCATCCGAATGCTGTATGATGGGCGTTAAAATCACCCATCACTAACATCGGTGATCTGATTGACTGGATAGTTTCTTTTAAAATGTTTATAGGAAATCGACCACTACGAGGAGGACAATATACACCAAGAACTGCAAAACGATCATTTTGAGAAATTTGAACATTTAAAGCTACAGTCTGAATTTTATCGGTGCTATGAGTAAATATTTCAGAACACTGAATATGATTTCTACATAAAATGGCAACACCGCCGTATCCATTGTCACTGTCTCTTCGAAAAATTGTATAACCTCTAATTCTTATTAAATCTGTCGGTTTCAACCAAGTTTCATTAAGTATGCAAATATCTACTTTTAGTGAATTTAATAGCTCGCAAACAAAAGCCAACTTAGGTTTAAGGCTTTGGATATTGTGCTGTATAACAACTAATGTTTTACTATCCATTATGAGTAACTTTTTTGATAAACATCTCTTTTATAGTGGAAGAATTAATTGGTAAGCTATTTTCTTTATTGCAAAACATAAGCAATGTATCGATGATAGCTTTAAGTACTTTTTCGTTATTAATAACGTCGGTTAAAATATTCTGAGCTTTGTTATTTTCATTAGGTACATTTAAAGGTTTAGAACTACTTGCCTTGGCATAAGACTTATTCAGTGCAGGAAAGAACGATCCCAAATTATTTCTGTTCATTATTTTACTTTTATTTTCATTAATTTTCTGTAGTTTAACTGGACAAGTCCTAGCCACGGCAATATGTTCACCTTTGCAATTGATACACAGTGGTTTATTTGTATTGGTGCATTCTTTGTATGAATGAGACTCTGAACATATTGAGCATACAATGTTACGTTTGCAAAACTTTGTAGTATGACCAAAACCCATACATTTATAGCATTGTAACACTGGCTTAATATATTCCTCTACAGGTACAAGACATAGACCATAGTTCACACGTTCGGGCAGTACATTACCTGCAAATGTCACTGAAACAGTCTGCAACGGGACAATACCATCAGGAGTTCGTCTAGTAAATCTGCGTACAGCCAATATTTCCTGGGAACTAATAAGTTTATCAAAAAGATGTTTGCAGCTGAGATCAACAGGGATATATTTAATAATTCCTATGCATTCTGAAGTTGCAGCTGGGATGAAAGCTTTAATTTCATGCAATGACAAGAAAGAGGAATTAGACAACAGAGAATTTGCATTCTTTGCATTATCAAAGATAACAGCATACCGCAAAGCATTGACTCTTTTGATTTCTTTCACACCTTTATTGTACCGACTGAATATATTGTTTAAATAGATAGGATTTTTATTTCCAAATTTAATTGTTTCATTTGTACTTTGTATGTAAACTGGAAATACTGTGCCTGGAGAATTCTCAGGGTAGCTCCTTATGTGATTTTTCTTGAAGTATGGTGCATGTTTTACATCTTCATCATCATCAGAAAAGTCCACCAGAGGACTTGCTTTTCTCTTTTTTTTACCATGTGTAGGCTCGCTGCCTCCACTATCTGAACCCATTGTCAACTTTCAGTACTTAATATAAATGAAGTTTACTTGAAGTTTAACAATAAAAATTAAATAATTATTATTTAAAAGAAAAAGTTGAACCTCCCGCCTCGAAAGTTTCCCGCCTTTTTCAGTTCTATGAT